TGAAGACCACATACTTATGAGAAATATATATTTGGTCATCTGAATCATCTGAATGACCAAATACATATTTCTCATAAATGACAGTATTGCCCGATCTTAACCATTTTTTAAAAAGATTTTTATTTATTTTTGTGTGCGTGCGTGAGAGAGAGCACATGAGCGCAGGCACAAGCAGGAGGAGGGCAGAGGGAGAAGCAGAGTCCCTTCTGAGCAGGGAGCCTGACTTGGGGCTTGACTCCGGAACCCTGAGATCATGACCTGAGCCAAAGACAGATGCTTAACCGACTGAGCCACCCAGGTGCCCCATCTTAACCATTTTTAAATATGTAGTTTAGTGGTGTTTTATTAAATACATTCACATCATTGTACAACTGCCCCTATAATCTATCCCTGTAACTGTTTTCGTCTTGTAGAGCAGAAACTCTATACCATTAAAAATAACTCCTCATTCTCCCCTCCTCTCCACCAGTGGTAATCACCGTTCTACTGTCTGTTTTTATGACTGTGACCCCTCCAGGAACCTCATATAAGTGGAATCCTATGGTATTTGTCTTCTTGTGACTGGCTCCTTTCCCTTAGCATAATGTACTCAAGGTTCCTCTGTGTTGTGGCATATTGCACAATTTCCTTCCTTTTTAAGGCTCCATAATACCCCATTCTACATACGGACCACAGTTGGGTTTTTTTTTTTTTTTTAATCCTTTCATCCATCAATGGGCACTGGGTTTTTCTCATGTTTTGGCTCTTGTGAGTAATGCTGCTATGAACATGTGAACACACATATCTTTTTGAGACCCTGCTTTCAGCTCTTAGCGGTTTATACCCAGTGGTGGAATTGCCTGCCTCGTTTGGTAATTCTGTCTTTAATTTTTTGATGAATTTCCATACTGTTTCCCATGGAGTATCTCTTGCCATCATTCCACTTCAACCTCTTTGTGTCTTTGGGTGTAAAGTGAGTCTCTTCTCCACGCATATGTGGTTGGATTATGTGTTGTCACTTATTCCGGCAATCTCTGTTTCTGATTGGAGAGTTTAATGCATTTACAGGGTCAAGTAATGATAAGAAAAGACTTCTCTCGTTGTGCAGTTTGTTTTCCATGTGCCTCAGAGCTCTTTTTCATCTTCATTTTCTGTATTATTTTCTGTTTCAGGTAATATTTTGTAGTGAAATGGTTAAATTCCTCTCTCATTTCTTTTTGTGTCTACTCTGTAGCTGTTTTTCCGTGTGGTTACTGTGGCATCTCCACGTAACATCCTAAGTTGTAGCTCTCTAATTGGAATTTGTACCAACTGAAGTTCAGTAACATACAAAACTCTGCTCCTTAACAGCTCCATCCCCACCCCTTTGGTTGTAGATGTCACAGAATTACATCTCTAAACGTTACATATCCAAAAAACATAAACTAATAATTATTTTAAGTGCATTAGCCTTTTAAATTACATAGACGACAAGGTGTGGAGTTACAAGCCAAAGTTACAGAATTCCAACTTTTAGAGCAATGATTGCTTTTTTCTTTCAATTTCTTGGTCTCTTAAGTCATGTGGGAAACAAAGTACAGTGACAGACTGTTGCCGCAGTGGTGCTGGCTGGTGGGACTGGCCATGTGTAGGCCCTCCCTGAGACCTTACTGCGTGCACGGCTTCCCGCTGCCGTCTCCAGTCCGTCCCTTGCGCCTGTCGGACTCCTGGGAGCAGCTCTTGCAGGAAAGGTCCAGTGGTCACCGAATGCCACAGCTTTTGTTTGTCTAGCAATGACTTGATTTCTCTCTCACTTTGCAGCACAGTTTTGCTGGATATGGGATTCTCGGTTTTTCTTCTTTTAGCTCTGACCATATTGGTGCATTTCCTCTGAAATCCAAAGTTTCTGGTGAAAAATCCACAGATAATCTTACTGAGGATCCCTTGGATGTGGTGAGTCTCTTCTCTCTTGCTGTTTTCATGGTTCTCCCTTTGTCTTTTGAAAGTCTGATTATAACGCATCTCCGAGTGGGTCTCTCTGACTTCATCTGACTTGACCCTCTTTGGGCTTCTTAGATGCTTAGCTGCATGTCTCTCATCACATCAGGGATGTTTTCAGTAATTATTTCTCCAGAGAGTCTCTTCGCCCCTGTATCCCCAATCCTGCTGGGACTCCCACAGTACGTATGCTGATTCAAGGGCTGGCGCCCACGGATCCCTCTGTCTCTGCTCGCGGTTTTTCAGTTCTTTTTCTCTCTGTCCCTCAGGCTGGACCATTTCTGTCCTGTTTTCAAGTTTGCCAATTCTTCCTTCTGCCTTCAGCTCCCTCCAGGGAATTTTTCATTGCTATTACTGTACTTGTCAGTTCTTGAATTTCTTTTCCTTTTTATGTTTTCTTTCTCTTTATTGATTCCATTTTGTTCGTAATTTGTTTTCTTGACTTTTTTTACATCTTTCTTCAGTTCTTTGAGCATCTTTTAGACTAGTCTTTGTGTGTTAGATCTGACATCAGGTCTTCTTCAAGGACAGTATCTGTTTATCTTTTTTGTTCCTTTATTTTATTATTTTTTAAGATTTTATTTATTTGAGAGAGAGAGAGAAAGAGCGTGAGAGAGCTCATAAGCAAGGGTGAGGGGTAGAGGGAGAAGCAGACTCCCCGCTGAGCAGGGAGCCGGATGTGGGACTTGACCCGAGGACCCTGGGATCATGACCTTAGTGAAAGCAGATGCTTAACCGACTGATCCACCCAGGCGCCCCTTTTTTTCCCTTTAAATTGGCTATACTCTCCTGTTCCTTTGTGCGCCTGTTGATTTTTGTTGAACACTGGACATTTTAACCTTTATAATGTGGTAACTCTGGAAATCAAATCCCCACCCCCAACAGTAGGTCGACCTGAGACTCGGTAATAGCAGTTATGGCATTGCAGTGAGACTTCTCAATTACCGCAGCGCATGCCACACACACATACATGCACACGCGCATACACGTGCCCGATTGGTCTTCTCTTGAGGGTGGCAGGGGGCCAGCTCATTGTCTTGAAGTGTGGATAGATTACAAGGAATCAATGCTTTCTTACAGGAACTGTTTCACCAGGTGACCAGACCGAATCCAAAGAGCAGATGCCTCTCCTTTTACATTGTATTCTAGCTAAACGGTGGAAAGGAAAGATAGACTTCCTTCCACTTTCTTCAGCCTGGGCTGCGGTCATGAATGTGGGCTCTGAGCACAAAGGGCTGTTGGTATCAAAGCAGGGCAGAGCCTGGACGTGGTGCGTCTGGATGGCAGCCGGGCAGCATTGCTGAGGGTCCTTGGAGTGTGAGCTGGGCTCTGGGTGCAGGAACCAGGGTTACAGGACCCTAGGGGGAAGGGGAGATGGTTGCCTGCATCATGTGTGTTCAGTCAGTGACGTGCAAACCAGGGAGGGTGGGGAGGGCCTGTAGATAAAAAGGGACGTTGAAGACGGAATACCCAGAATGGACAAGGCTCAACTGTAGTGTCCTGAGGATGTACATTTGGGGGATAAACTCCAGATCAGAGCAAGGAGGTGCAGATGACAATAGTGTTGGGGAGGGGGGGACAGGGCACACGCAGGATCTTCTCAGGGTCTCGCAGTTGTTTGCAAGTTACTTGTCCTAAGTCACTAAGATGTACAGATGCTCTTAGGGCTTTCTGTACCTTGTTTATTTTATTAAGTCACTTGAATTCATTTGGTGATGAAACTACTATTATTTTGTTTTATATGCTTGTTTTTAGGGATTGCTTTTTAAAAGTTTGATGTGATTTGCTTTTTTAATTATGTAAAACGTGTGATTTCCGAGTGAGCAGTATAAAACAGCCCCTTCCTGCCTTCCTCCCTCTGCAGAGGTCGTCCCCATGTCCACACCTGCACACTCCCTCCCTCTCCCACCTGGCTCTTCGGTGGAAGGTATTAGTCCATGAGCAGCATTTACACCTTGCTTTCCTCACTGAGCGATGTACACCCTGCAGATTGTTAACAGTAAACATTGAGGTCTTTCTCTTTCTCCCTCCCTTTCCTTTATTCCCTCCCTCCCTCCTCTTTCTCCTTCTCTCCCTCCCTCTCCCCCTCCCTCCCTTCCTGGCTTGCTCCCTGTCTCCTGTCTGTGCCTGGTCTTCAAGCCTGTCTTTCTTACATGGCTGCTTGTACTTCCTTTTATTCATTGATTCTCACATTGTCTGTTCCCAGCCTTTTGTTACAATAAATAATGTTACAGGATCATTTTGTATGTGTATGCATGTAAATAGCAAGTCTTCCTTTTTCAGGTAAATTCTGAAAAGTAGAACAGGGGTTGTGTGAAGGAACACCTGTGATTTCAGCTCGTGGTAGGTCATCTCAGAAGAGTTGTGCCCAAACCCCTGTAACCAGCAGAATGTGATTATTGGTGAATGTGCTTCAAAACACTTAAAATAACTACTGAAGAAAAAAAATCTCTGATAGAGAAAATTTAGACCATTCATTGTTTTCATTTGTACCTCTTTGTTCTAGTATGGTTGAAACTTTGTGTTTTGCTGTTCTGTCTTAGGATAGGTTCTGAGAAATGGTGTGATAGCATGGTCAAAGGGTGAATGGAGGTTTACTTTAATATTTTTTCATGTTTAAAATTTGATTGGGTTGTATGACAATAGATTTTACCTGGGTTTTGGCATTTTAGCTGTGCTTTTATTATTGAACACATGTTTTATGGTGGTACGTGAGATAATTTATTAGCAAAGTTATGGCACACCCTTGGATATTTTTGTGTATTTACTTATTATTTTATTATTAAAGCATGAATTAAAGGTAGAAATGATCAAAGCAGTTTTTTTAAAATAAAGCCCTAATTAATAATACGCCTCCGTAGGCAAGGACACGACGTAGCAGGTAAGTGATTCGTTAGTGACCTGTATCTTCTCAGCGCACTTGTTTGTGAATCAAATATATAAAGGCTTTTGAGGATTTTTGTGTCGTTGCTGTATCCCACTGTGCTGCACACTTGTGGTCTTCAAGCACCTGTAACTCTGGAATCTTCTTGTCTCCTTCCAAGGTTCGTGTTTTATTCGAACTGATCAGCTTGATGGTGAAACCGACTGGAAGCTGAAGGTGGCGGTGAGCTGCACACAGAGGCTGCCAGCCCTGGGGGTGAGCATTCTTGCAGTGACAGCGCCATCTCACTTAGTGCGTGTTCCCAGGCAGCAGATCCATTTCTGCATACACCAGCTGACTTCTTGAGTGCACGGGTTCCTAAAAATGATTCTTGTAGTACTAACAAGGGGTGCTTGAAAATTATGCCAGAATAATTTCTCTGCTGTCTGGCACATGACTTGCTCTCGCTGTGGGTTTGCAGTGCTCCTGTTGGCCCGGGACTGTCGTTGTCTTTTCTCTTCTCTTGCTTTCCTTTCCCTTCTGGTTTTTATTTGTAAACCTCGCAGTTGAGTAATCTTTAAGATTGAGAACTTCTGGCGGGGTGAAATGAGTCCATAATTGAGTCCCTTTTTGCTAACTGACTTAACTCTGTGGTAGGCTGATGTCCATTAGTTTTGGCAGATTGTGGAACTCAGACGAAGTTAAGCCTCCTTTTGGAGACAGGCATGTCCACTCTGCTTTACTTGGGACAGTAGAGAACCCTCTTCTGTTAGGAGGAGGGACAGTGTTACTGTGTCTTGTGACCAAGAGAGAAGGAAGAGGACACCGTCAGGTACCTTGCCTGGTCTTTGCCCAGTGCCCCTTTGTTCCTGGGGAATAGGCAAGAGGTGGGATTAGAGAGAATAGTACTTATGGACTTCAGCATTTTCAACGATCTCTCACAAATGCTGAGAATCTACTAAGCTGGCACACATCTTTTTTTTTAACAAAGCCACGGTTGAGGCCATTTGGTGCTTGTGTTAGACGTTAGTATGTATTTGAATGAGAGGAGCTTCATTCTTCCTACATGATCTGCTGATATGCAGTGGAGAGTAAAGAAAACTTGAGGTGGTCTACGAGTGACCTTTGCCTCGAGCACTTGTTGGTAAAGGCAAGGGAACTTGGGTAGTAGTATAGACTTGGTCGCTTTCCTTAGATTGGTTGGGTTTGGATAGGAGTAGCTACTTGCACTGCATATGATGTACAGTTAATTTACCATGAACAGCAGGAGCCTTCCTCATTCGTGTGTACACTGTACCTTTTGGAAATTATATATGTTTGACATGTGCAAGACTGGGAAATATTTGGTTCTTTAGGAGTTTTTGGTTGTCTATGCTTTATGTGGTCCCTAGGTTGAAATTTATTCCTTTATATGTTTTGTGTATATCTTGCAAGACTTTCTGGTCGCTAGTGAGCAGTTGCTGATTCTTTCTTTTGTCCATTTATTCATTGTCACATAACAGTGTGGGTCATGTAATATGTCTGTCACAGCCTAACCTCCTGCCTTTCCTGCTCCTTTTTTTTTTTCCCCCCGAACCCTTTAAAGATTAAAAAAAAACAAAACAACAACCATTCTTACCCCAAGGGTGATACAGAAGAGAGTGCAGATTGTCAGATTTGAACCCCAGGTCTTGGTTTCCTAACCCCTGAGCTGGAGAATGACCCCTCTCGGCTCATCAGCTAACCTTGTACACCTCTGTCATGGGTGGGAGCAAGTAGGCAACTCCTAGTTTTTGGCTTTTTTAAATATATAAACATTAAGAGGAGGCATGTAAATAGCAAGTCTTCCTTTTTCAGGTAAATTCTGAAAAGTAGAACAGGGGGTGTGTGAAGGAACACCTGTGATTTCAGCTCGTGGTAGGTCATCTCAGAAGAGTTGTGCCCAAACCCCTGTAACCAGCAGAATGTGATTATTGGTGAATGTGCTTCAAAACACTTAAAATAACTACTGAACAAAAAAAATCTCTGATAGAGAAAATTTAGACCATTCATTGTTTTCATTTGTACCTCTTTGTTCTAGTATGGTTGAAATTTTCCACCACGTATTCACTAGAAATTTGTATTTATTTGTTGGTTTGCCCTTCTCTTTTGCCCACTTTTGTATTGGTGTTTGCCAATTAAAAAATCATATATATGCTCATGTGGTGTATAGTATTGAGTTGATAAAATGAGATATATGCAAAGTATGTCCTGTTTTTAATTGTTCCTTCCTTAGACACAGAAATAGTCTTGCATCTCCTGTACATCTGTGGTCTCCATCATTCCTCAGATCAGAAGTTGTTTCTGAAAATTGTCCAAACTACTGTTCTAGATCAGTTTCTGAGTCAGTGCAAGGTGGACCACCGCTCGATGATTTGTTTTCAGTCTTCCTTCTCAGTGTTCTGGGACGGTTTATTTAAATTCTGTAGGATATTATGTATAATTTATATGATGTGGGTTAGTACAACTTATTGATTGATTGATTGTGAATGAGGGAAAGCAGATTCTGTTGGACCAGCTGATGAAGGTAATAGTTGAGGTTGACATTGACTCTTTCTCACGAAGCAGCTGACCTTTGTCCACTTCACAGTAGACAGGAACGAGTGGGGAGCTAGTAAGTCATTAAGTCACAAGTCAGGGATGTGTGGGAGAGTGTGCACGCAGAGATGGCCAAAGTGCTTTCCAGAGCAGCTGGACCATGAAGCACTGCCACCAACAGTGCGTGAGTGCTCGAGTCTCTCCACAGCCTTGCTAATATTTGGTGGTGTCATTTTTTAATTTTAGTTGTCTCGGTAAGTGTGTGGTGATACCTCATTTTAGTTTGTGTTTCTATAATGGCTAGCAAGGCTGAACAGTTTTTGTTTTTTGTTTTTAAGATTTTTATTTATTTGAGAGAGAGCAAGCAGGAGGGGGAGGGAGAGAGAATCAGAAGCAGACTCCACGCTGAGTGCAGAGCCCAACACGGGGCTCAGTCCCACAGCCTGAGATCATGAGCTGAGCCGAAACCAAGAGTCGCATGCTTCACCGACTGAGCTGCCCAGGGGCCCCCTGAACCGTGTTTCTTGTGCTTGTTTACCATCTGTGTATCCTCCTTGGTGAAATGTCTGTTCATGTCTTTTCAGTGGCTTTTGTGTAATTCCCTAGAATGCTCTCTGTACATGACCGTGTCATGGGCAAGGAAGATAGTATAGCTCTTCCATGCAAGTGTGCATAGACGGCCTTCTCTTTCTTCTGCTTGCGTATCACACCGGCTGCGATCTCTAATGCATTGTTGAACAGAAGTGGTGAAACCATTCATCCTGGTCTTCTTTCCAATCTCGGGGAACACGTAACCTTTTAACATCATGTGTGATGGTAGCAGTAGGTTCTTTTTACAGGTTGAGGAAATTCTTTCTATTCCTAGTTTGCTGAGAGGCTTTATCATAAATGGGGATTGGATCTTCTGTGTTTATTGACATGATTGTGTGATTTTTCTTTGTCATCTGTTAATAGGATGATCTGTATGGACTGATTGATTGTATCAATCTCATATTCCTGGGGTAAACCAAATCGACATTTGTTCATGCTAAGTGTCCTCTTCATATATTGCAGTATTTGATTTGCTAATATTTTGGGAAGGACTTTTGTGCCTATATTCACGAGGAATATTGATTATGTTGCTTTTGTTTGTATTTGTCTGTTTTGTTTTTATTGTAATGCATTTGGTTTGTTACCTAGGGATGTGCTGGCCTCATAAAATGAGTCGGGAAGTCTTTTTGCCTCCTGTATTTGTTGAAGTAGTTGGTGTAAGATTGGTGTTATTTATTAATTTTTTTTACTATTGAACGTATTCCCCTTGAAACTATCTGAGTCACAAGTTTACTTTGTGGGAAAGTGTTTAATTGTGAATTGCATTTCTGAAGTAGATAGTAGAGTTAATCGGATTTTTTGTTCATTGGAAATTTGTGTTTTTCAAAGAGTTTATTTCATGTAAGTTGCCAAATTTTATGGTATAAAATTCGTTATGTTCTTGTTTTTTAGTTTTTGTAGGATCCTCTCTTGCATCTTCAATATTGGTAATTTATATCTCTTTTTTTTTTCTTGGACAGTCTCATGAGAGGTTAATTGACTTAGTCTTTTCAAAGAACCTGTTTTTGGTGTCTTTGATAATCTTTATTGTTCGTTCATTTTCTGTCCTCTGTTCTGACATTTATTTCCTTTCCTTCTTTCTAACTTAGTTTGTGTTCATTTTTCTTTTCTTTGTTGACTTTTAAAGCAGAAGTGAGACTCTTGATTTTTTTACCTTGTTCTTTTCTGTTATAAGCCCTGAGAGCTGTAACTCACCTAAGCATTACTTAACCTGTATCACATAAATTTTATACACTGTATTTTCATTATGTTTTTGTTGAAATATTTTCTAGTTCCTTTGTGATTTCTTCTCACCTTTCCTTTACTTGGAAACATTGCTTCCTTACCATGTGGTGGGGGATTTTCCTGACGTCCTTTGTAACTTAGCTGTTATTTAATTCTGTTACGTTCATGGACCACGGCATGTCTTACGTCACAGGTTGGGACTTGTGACTTGGCTCATGCTTTCTGTGGGTCAGTGCTCAAGCCTGTTTACAGAGTGTGTTCTGCTGTTCTGTGGGTAGCCTGTCAGTGTTCATTAGGTCAAGTCGATGGAAACTGTTGTTTAAATGTTGTGTATTTTTACTTACTTTCTACCATTTATTCTCTTAATTAATGAAAGAAGACTTTTAAGATACGCTCTTTCTCCTTTGGGTTCTATCAGTTGTTGTCCTGTGTACCTCGTTAGGGTCCATGCACACTCAGAATTCTCATAGCCTGTTGATGAACTGAACTTCGCTCAGTATTTGTGGTGGTGGTCTTGGTTGTGACATCTACTTGGATGTTAGTATAGTGATTCCAGCTTTCTTTTGATTGGTGTTTGCATCTTTTTCCATGCTTCTGTGTTTACTATGTCTGTTTCTTCATATAGGAAGTGGGTTTCTTGTTAGCATAACACAAGGAGATACTGCTTTTTTACTTATTCTGACAGTTGTTGCATTTTTAATGAGTACATTTACCATAATTACTAATAACGGTTGAATTAAAGGCGGTTACCTTGCTGTTTATTTTCTACTTATCTCTTTGTTCCTTTTTTCCATCTTCAGGTATTATTTTAAGATTTTTGTTTAATTACTATTATTGGCTGTAACCATTAGTTCTGTTTTGCAGTTGTTCTGTGGTTTCCAATATGTGTTACTAACTTAGTATTA